TTGGAATAAAAATTATAATAATTTATCTAATTTTTGGCATGCTATGAATTTCCAGTTGGGAGCTCAAAAAATAAATGGTTTTCTTTGAAAAATAAAATAATTGTTTTTTAACATTCAGTCTACTTCCTAGTATTTTTGTATTACTAGGTTGGAATCCATCTTGGAATCAATAAATATTAAAAGTTTTCTTTTATGTAAATACATAACTATTCCTGGATAATCACACATTCAACCTTTAAAATAAAGTTTTAAAAAGATTTCTCCTACTCTTTATCAATGAACGTTTCATGTTGGAATTAATCATTTTTAATTGTATATTTAGAAGGTGACTTTTCCATATAGACAATAATTTTTAACATTCTGAGCCTTAGAGCACTAATTTTTACTTAATTAGTTTATGCATTTGTTCAAGTCACAGTTTCAAGGTTCTTGCCCTATTTCAGAAATTACACATCCTTATCTGTAAAAACAGAAATATTAAGTCACACATATTAAGCAGAGCTACTCATGGTTGAAAGTGATAACATAAGATGTGTGTAAGCATAGAATTTTAACTTTTATTGTGTTTAGCCTTTTTTTATGAGCTATTGCTGTAGAGAGAGGAAGATTCTGGATAGCCAAGACTTTTTTTTTTGTTTTTAGTTTTATTCTCTCACCTTTTTACATCTAACCAGCATCTATAATATATTGGAGCTTATCTTTTTTTTTTTTTTCTGGATCAGGATTCTTTATCATCTCAAAGCTAAAGTGTAGAGGAGTCTATCAATTGATGCTGTAAGTAGTCATCTTTTTGATAACAAGCTCAACTAAGAGTCTTCAATTTTATATGGCCCATGAACTTCTCCATGCCAGTTTCTGTTTTATATAACAAATTCAGAAAGCTTGTCTCCTACTTTTAGACTATTTAACTTGCTTTTGTATGCCACTTAGATAATCTCTAAATACTGAGAGCAACCTCAAGAATTCTCTGTAACAAAACTGAGGAAGGAGAATACAAATTCCAAGCTATTATCCGTCCTCACCCCCCAAATAAATTGTGCTGTCTCTTGCTTCAAAGGAGATGTGATACTAAAAGAATGTGGAATTATCAAGGATCTTTCCTTACCCAGACATTCACGGAAATCTTTCTACAGCTCTCACTAGACCTCAGGAAGGGCAACCCCTTTGTTTCCCCGGACAAACGGAGAATGGGCAGGTGAAATAAATGATTGAGGAAGTTTTTAGTCTTTCTTCACTCCAATTTTTTTCTTTTTCTTTATTTCATTTTGGATGTACTGACCTCTAGCTCCAACAAATCCTATGAATATTTGCTAAGCAACTCAGTTCCATAAAATCTGATGAGGTCCTGAATGTATGGACCTCTTATTCCATATCTTTCTCACCAGGTTATTTAGGTTCCTGCCAAAGTAAGGACTAGACACTTTCCCTAGATCAGGCCTAATTTCTGAGGCAGAAGTTTTAGATAAAATGCACCTAGAGATAAGATAAAATATTTTTTCTATTACTATTTTTTTTCTTAAAACACTATTCCAATCATATACTGTCATATTGGGTTCACACTCTTTTCTTATGTCATGGATTCTTTCTAAACTCTTGGCTAACTGTGTCCTCCACATTTTATGAAGCGGTAGAGAGAAAATTTTGCCTACAAATGAATTACTTGCTCAGAGGAAATGAACGTTCTAAATATTTTATAACCTGTCCTGGAAAGCATCCCATTATAACTCCATTACCTAATTAAAACAAGTTTAATAGTCAGATATGTCCACATCCTTCAGTGTGAGCAGTAAAAAGCAAGCTGATGAGATTTTTGAACCAAGGTTTCTCACTGGAACTTTGTAAGCAATGCATGCTCCATTTATTATAATTATTTGAAATTTATCTTTCTGAGAGAAATATACACCTATCTTGACATAGATTTTTTGAGAAAAATAGCTAACAGTCACATTTCATTATGACAGTCTTTTTCCCTCACTCCTAAGAAAGACAAAAAAAAAAAATGAGAGTGTTAAAGAGCTATGGACCTATAAAACATAATTTACCAAGGTCTCTTGAAATTCAGACTTTCATGTGGTGCATGCCTGTAGTCCCAGCTACCCAGAAGGCTGAGGCTGAGGCAGAACGATTGCTTAAGCGTGGAAGTTTGAGGTTGCTGTGAGCTAGACTGACACCACGCCACTCTAGCCCAGGCAACAGAGTGAGATTCTGTCTCAATAAAAAAAAAAAAGGAAGTTCTACCAATCAAAAAGAGTGATAGAAAGAGACTCTAAGAGATATATTGCCTCAGTATGCTTTTTGGAAAGAATACTGAGCAATCTTCAGGTCACTAAATGTATTAGGAAACTGCTTCATCTACTCTCCACTTTATGCCCATTGCCTTTAAACCTCTAGAGCTAGGCAACTGAGGCTCTATTGCTCTGTTCCTTCCCCCAACCTCCAGCAGACAGAATGCTCTTTTCACCCTTTTCTAGCTCCACTTTCTCTTTTCCCTCCCTTTTTCACCACTCCCTCTTTTTTCTCAATTAAAAAAAAATATGGTAGTTCTATTTTTAGTTTTTTGGGGAAAAAAATCTATTGTTCTCCATAGCGCTATACTCACTTACCATCCCACCAACAATATAAGAGTGATCCCCTTTCCCTGTGTCCTCACCCACAGTGCTGGGTATATATCCAAAAGAAAGGAAGTCAGTAAATCAAACAGATATCTGTACTCCTTTGTTTATTGCAGCACTATTCACAATAGCCCAGATGTGGAATCAACCTAAATGTCCATCAATGGATGAATGAACAAAGAAAATGTGGTATATATACATAATGGAAATATTATTCAGCCAGAAATAAAAATAATGTAACATTGTCATTTTCAACAACATGGGTGAGACTGGAAGACATTATACTAAGTGAAATAAGCTAGGCATAGAAAGACAAATATCACATGTTCTTACTCATTTGTGAGTGCTAAGAAAGGTGATCTCACAAAGGTAGAGAATAGAATGATGGTTACTGGAGGCTGGGAAGGATAGAGGGGAGGGGGGATAAAAAGGGGTTGGTTAATGGGTACAAAATACAATTAGATAGAATGAACAAGATCTAGTGTTTGGTAGCATAATAGGGTGACTATAGTTAAAGTACATTATTGTATATTTCAAAATAACTAGAGGAGTAGATTTGAAATGTTTCCAACACAAAAAATTGGTAAATGTTTGAGGTAATGGATATCCCAATAACCCTGATTTGATCGCTATACATTGTATGATTGTATCAAAATATCACATGTATCTCATAAATATATACAACTATATACCCATAAGAATTAAAAATAAAAGATTTAATCAATTTAAAATTTTATATTTTAAAAACCACTTTATATGGAAATTGGGAAGCAAGAAATAGGAAAAAAATGAAATACAGCTGGATATATTTTAGACACATTATGAGGATTTTTTTAAAATAAGGGAGTTCATACATTCATATACACAAATTCATTTTGTCCTTATTTTGCTAATCTTATTTTATATTTTCTATTTGTTTTCTAGTCATAATCCTGTTTTTTATTTCTTTTATGGCTTTTGCTAGAGTTATCAGCATTTTAAAAATTATATTCTACCCAAGTGATTTGTGATTTATACACTGTATTTTTAATCTGCTGGTGTTTTTCTTTGAATATTTTCAAAGTTATTTGAATTCTATTTTTTCATTAAGATAAGGAAGACAATAATAAGGCTTATGATAATGAGATAATTAACATGGATTTATTTCTTTTTGTGTCCCCTTTCTAGCCTCCACATTAACATCAACCACAACAGCAGCACTGACAACATTAATATTTTATTTGTGCTCTTTTTCTTTGCTAATTAAATTTTTTTCATAAAATAAGAACAATTCTGCATGCTCAACATCATTTCACTTGACAGTTTGCTCATAGCTGAATTAATAAGACAATATTGTTTTGAACCAGTATTAATGAATACACAGGTTTAACGGTATGTCATTCATTCTGACTTCCTTGTATATCCCTATAACCTATCTGAAGGTCAGTTTTTCATTAAGTATTAAAATCTTTAAAATTGCTTCTGAACTTCAACACAACAAGTACTTTTTCAGCGTTTCATCCTAGGAGGATAAACATGAACTTGCACAAAATTTTTTGCTAGAGAAATAGTAGTTGCATATTTTAAAAATGACAGAATATTAGAAACCATTTTCATGCACATTAATTTCATGTTTTTGAATGGATGATGTAATATTCATAAGGTCAAATAACATGTTGATGGATTGCATTGGTAAATATTTAATGATATGGATAAGGGATCATAACATATTAAAAGAATAAAATGCATATATACCAAACATGAAGTCTAATTTTATTTTTGTTCAAAAATAGATATGCATGTAAAATGCCTATATTTATATATTTATTTTCACATATTTATGTGGAACATGATGCATCAAAATGTTGATGTTTTAGGGGAGGTGGTATCATTATATGTAATTATCATTTTCTTCATAATACTTATCTGTACTATCATGTATTTTACAATAAATACTTAGCTAATCTTGTAAAAGCTAATAAAATAACATTTTTAAAAATTATAAATCAGAATTATAAAAGAAATGTTACAACTATGGTTGAATAAAGACCATACATATTTTTATGCAGAAGATATCATAAGTAAGTGATAAGCAGAAAGAAATATTTGCAATACATGCAATCATTTAAGAATTGAAGGCCAAAATATGCAAGTAGCTAATTTCAGTTTTAGACCATCTGTGAACTAGGGGGAGAATTGATGTGCAGTTTGTCATGGACTTCCAAAAATTACAACTGATTTGAGGAATATTAATAAAAGTGAATTATGATGAGATTAATTTTGAAAGTATATTTTAGATAGTTTTAAAACACCACTAAAAGCATAGACAACAGAAAGTTCAGAAAAAAAGAAAGAACTAAATAATATACATGTTAAAAGGTTTTTTATAAGATTAATTTCTCTGTGAGTCTTAAGCATAAAACAAAAACGAAAGCCAAGGAAGAAGATAGAAGGCTCAAATGTTCAAAAAGTGATCTGTCTCTGGAGAGGGATAGACATGAAGTGGATAACATTGCTGGAGCCCTGGGGGGTGCAAGGATCCTTGTGCCTCTAGCCTGGATGTGCTGTTAAGTAGCTCTGGAGACTGTTTCATTTCTCTTCAATGACCTGCAAGAAATGGGGCATTTCATGTAACATGAAAATGTCACAGAATGGGAGAATATATTTTCAAACTATCCATCTAACAAAAGATTAATAACTAGAATAACTCCCATGTTTATTGCAGTGCTATTCACAATAACCAAGGTTTGGAATCAACCTAAGTGTTCATCGACAGATGAATAGATAAAGAAATTGTGGTACATGCACACAATAGGATATCATATAGCCACAAGAAAGAAAGAAACTCTGCCATTTGCCACAACATGCATGGGACTGGAGAACATTATGATAAGTGAAATAAGCCAAGCATGGAAAGACAAATATTGTATGTTCTCACTCATATGTGGGAGCTAAATATTAAAAGCAATTGATCTCATGGAGACAGAGAGGACAATGATGGTTACTGCAAGCTGGGAAGGATAGTAGGGAGGGGGGAAAAGTAGGATGGTAAATGGGTACAAAAATATAGTTAAATAGAATGAACAATATGTCATAGCACAACAAAGTGACTATAATCAACAATAAGTTTGCATATACTGTAAAATAAATAAAAGAGTGCAAATGGGATGTTCCTAACACAAAGAAACGATAAAATGCCTGATGTGATAGATACTCCAATTACCCGGACTTGAATATTTCACATTGTATGCCTGTATCAAAACATCACATGTACTCTATAAATGTGTACAACTATTATATACCCATGATAATTGAAAAAATTTTTAAAATTATTCAAACCAGGTTTCTCTGATATTAGAGAAAAATCTCTTTCTGATATTAGAGAAAAATCTCTTTACTCCTATGCTATACTATTTCCATCAAAAATCATGTTTGCACACTGTTGATGGGCATAAAAATTACTGTTTTGGAGTGCAATTTAAGGAAAAAATGAATACATGTGCATTCTTTGTGTGTGTGGGAGAATAAAATTCCACAGCAGGAGAAAAGCACTGGAATCTTGATGAGGATTCAATACCAAAATGGTACAGCAATATCAGATACCCGAAGCCAAGAACTGTCAGACACTTAGAGGATGAGTGCCAGAGAGTTGCAGTCTTTAAAATAATCTCTATTGCAATGGACTGAATGTGTATTTTCCCCCAAAATTTATACACTGAAATCCTAATGTCCAAGATGATGGTATTAAGTGGTGGGGTGTTTGAAAAGTGGTTAAGTTATGAGGACAGAGCCCCCATAAATGGAATTAGTGTCCGTATAAAATATGTCCAGAAAGCTTCTTTGTCCCTTCACCATGGGAGGATATAATCAGAATGCACTGTCTATGAAACAGGGAAAGGGCTTTCACCAGACATCAAATCTGCCAGAGCCTCGATGTAGGACTTCTCATCCTGACATAAACGCCAGTCTGATGAGTTTTAAATGGAAACATTTTAATTTTAATTTTTTAATTTTAGTTTTAATTTTCATTTTCCTGTTTACTAATGAGATTTGGTACATACTCAAATATATTAGCCACTTTCCGTGATACATTTTTTTGTCTTGTGCTCATTTGTTTTCTTTTTATTTTGTCCTGTATGTCATAAGATGTTTAGAAGCATCCCTGGCCTCTATACACTAGATGCTAATAGTGCCAAGTAATGACAACCTAAAATTTCTCCAGACAGTGCCAAATTTCTCATAGGGGTCAAAATTGTCCCCAGTTGAGTAGTACAGAATGATAAAGCTACAGGAAGGAAGTCTGCATCCTTGAATCACTGCTTGGAGAAGAGTAGTTCACCAATTAAGAATCAAAGAGATTTTGAGCTTTATCGGTTACCTTATCTAATGCAATTACATTATTCAAATCTTCAATATAATTTCCAATTTTTGTTTACTTGATTTATTGCTGAGAAAAATGTGCTCAAACCACCGACTAGGATAGTGGATTTGTCTATTTGCTCATTTAATTCTGATACTGTTTTGCTTTGTATATATTATTGAATAATTTAATATATTTATATTTGTTGTATGTAAATATATTGATCTAAATATATTGACATATTTGATTTTGGTTTTGCCATCTTATTTCTGTGCCTCTATTTATTAAGCTTTTTCTATGTTTTCTTTTTCTAATTTTCTTGTTTTATTTGGATTAAGTTTTTTGTTTTGTTTTATTACCTTGTTCCATTTTGTTCAAAGTAGATTGAAATTTATATGGATTATTTATATTCATTTAGTAGTTACATGCTTGTGTAAGTTTCAAAAGACTAAGGTTAATCATATATCTATCTCTACCTCATGAAAATGCAAGAACCTTAGAATCCTTTAATTTCAATGGTTCCCCCTTTCAACTTATATGCAGTTGTTATACAACGTTCTTGTTATTGCTTGTTTTTTTTTTAATTTTACAAAATAGGCATTATTTATGTTTCAATAACTTGGTGTTTGCTTTAGTTCACCCAAATAATTTTCAACATTTCTCTTACATTTTAGATAATTGTCTGGCATAATTATTCTTTCTCCTGAATTATATCCTTTAGAGGCTCTTTTAGTGAAAGTCATTTAATATCTTTATTGTATCTTCATTCTTGAGATCTTACACTGACTATATAGAAATGCGACTATTTTTCTCCTCGAACTTTGAAGACATAAACAGTATTCCTTTGTTTTTTGGCTTCCATTGCTCTTTTGAGAAGTCCCAGTTTTATTGTTTTCATTGATATTAAGTAAATTCATTGAAATGTATTTACTTTAGCTTATTTAATTTATCTTTCTTGAGGACTATTTACATATTCTATTTGAAAATTAGAAACTTATCTTTCATGAATTTTGGAACATTCTCAAGCATTGTCTCCTTTACTAACCCCCTTCTCACTCTCCATTCTCCTATTATCTCATATTGAACTTAATTTTGATATATGCTAGGCATTTCTATTCTTTCTCTTATGTCTTAACTGTATTTTTACATATCTTTATTTTTCTGTGCCTCATTATGATTAATTTCTTCAAACAGACTTATACTCAATTTCTAAATTTCTCTTTTCATATATGTCTATTTAGATCATCTCTTGAGTTTCTAATGAATTAATAAAACAACAAGGAATTTTAAAAATTTAAAAGAAAAATAAGTTCCTTTTAAACCTCCCGGGCAAACAAGGCAAAGAAAATTCCCAATAAACAAAAAATTTAAAACAACCAAAATTTAAACAATTTAACAATTTAACCTTAAAAAAAAAAATAATTTAAAAAAAAATTAACAAAAAAGAAAAAATAATAATATAAAAAATATTATTATATAAAAAAAAAAAATAAAATAACTAACCATAATAAACATCCGTCTGACCCAAAACAAATTTGCTACAGACAGAGAAACAAAATCAATCACTATCTAAATTAATTATTTATTTAAGTAATCAGTCATAGCTAACACATATTGCAACGAAATATACAGAAAGAAATAAAACGAACCATGCAACAAACATGCTTTTTTCCCCAAAAAAAAAAAAACCTGTGTTTGCGAAAAACCCACAAGACACAACACCGAAAACTGTAGAGGGCACAAGAGGAGATCACAGACACACACGCCAAAAGTAGAGTGTGGGGTGGGATACGCAGAAAAAACACTCTCCCCCTGTGCCCCTATACCCCCCCCTCTCCACATCTCTTTGTGTCCCCTCTCTCTCCCCCCCCCCCCCCACACTACCCCCCCTACCCCCTCTCTCAAAAATATATACACTCCACACACAGACAAAAAAAAAAAGACCACAGACACCCACAACATCCCCCTACAAAAGGGGGGTATATTTCTAAAATACACTCTGAAGAAAAACGCCCCCAAGGCCCCCGAATTAAGCAAGGGTCTCCAGTTTTTCCTCTTTCACCTGAATTATTATTTGACTTTGTCTTCTATCTCTTGCTTATGACCAATTAACCTACAAACTTTTGGGAAAGCCACTAGGCAAACACTGTAAGCTTAATTCCTAATTTTTTATTTGTTTTTTCTCTTTCCTTTGCCAATCCAAAGGTATAACTGGAACATTTGTGATTTTATTCTCAGGGAGTTTTCAGGGTCAAAATCAGAAATAATGAAGGTATCCTTTTTTCTCTCTCTGGCTTTTAAAAAGCTATACCTTCTTAGAGGCTATGCTCATGGTTCTGGAAAGGAAAGGCAAAGGAACCAATGGTCTTGCAGATAACTAGAGAGAGACAAGTGTTCCCAGACAGCCTAGAATGAATGTACTCAGCTTCCCGAGGAGCTGAGGAGACTGCTTCTATCCCTGGCAGCATCTGAGGAGGCCAAAATGTGCACCTACTGGTCCTGTTCCCTAAGTAATGAAGTTTACAGATTGTAGAGGATTTTTATACCCAAATGTGATGCAGTAGCACACAGAAGTCTCTTGGATTTGTAACCCTGAGACTGTAGGGGAGGGGAGGCCTTAAAATAACTGATGTTTCTTTTATTATTACCCAAAGAGGCTGAAGAAGGGAGTTGGAGAGATGGAAAACAGAAGAATTTGGATTTTAAATTACTTATGTAACACAAATAAAGGATATTTATTTCTTATACAACTTATTTATACCTGTTATTCATACTTGCAGTTTTCACGTGCTCATCCTCTAGTACTGTGATCCTCCTTAAAGAAAACTGTTCATTGCCTTGATCTTATCTTTTTCCATATTCAGAAAGTTCTTACATATCTCAAAACATATGCAATTACTATGTGTGTGTCTGTATGCTGACATCATATTAAGACTTTTATAGAAATTGCATCTTATTCCATGTTTTATAGTAATTATCCAAGCTTGAATTTTTGTTGAATAGTTACAATTGTTTGGGGATTATACATGTGCACATATATTTAATATATAATCCCCAAAGTTATTTACAAATTGATTAGCATTTGTTGGCACAACTGTAAAACTCAGAATTACACAGTGCAATAGCAAAGCAGGTTACAACAAACACTAATAGCTTCAGGCCATGAATTATTTTCTTTCTTACCATGCATTTTCTCTGAATTTTTCTGCTGTAATACATTACAAACAAAGTTTTTAAAACTGACTTA